TATAAAAACATTTTGTTGATACTTTTCTAGTGCTTGATTATGAAAAAAAATATCTTGAGACTGCCCAGCACCATTCTTGTAGTTTGTGTTCTTTAACACTGTATTCAGCTTTACATTAAAAAAAGAAAAAAGAAGTAGAATTTGATCAAATATGAAGTGGCGCTGAATAATTGAAGTAGAACTAAATATAAATATATTACTTTTATCCTAACTCCCTAATGAGCTGTTCATTAGGAAAAATGTCTTATATTAACAGTGAATSCAAAGTGTGGTCTCAAAAAGTGATAACAGGGAAGGTCTCTGAAAGAAGAAGCATGTAAAAGGTAATGCTTTGAAATGGGGACTTTGCTTCCCTCCAGTTACAGGAAATCTCTCAAATATTCTGCCTCATAACCTAAATGAGACATAGCAACACTGCTTTTATGCATTATGAGAATATTCATTTTAGTTTTTTGGGTTTTTTAATTTAAAATGAGATTTTTGAGAATGTGGATAAACTGCTATGTCTGCAAGTGAGAATCTTCATGGCAGAGGCAAGGGAAACTCCCCACACCAATCCTCCCAGTCCTGTACTCCATTGTTATTGTTGATTTTTTTCAGAAGTACACAAGTCAGCCTCTTTCCRTAGTTAATGTTTTGGATACCTGGGCTGTGGCATTATGTGAGTCCATCCAGGACACCTGACAGAGAAAATTGTTAAATCCTTTCCAAATCCTTCCCTAATACTTTATTTTTGAGCATATCCTCCACCATTTCCCAAGGTCTTCAGGTGGTAAATCTCTTTTCACAAAACCAGTGGTGTTGTAATTATTCCTTCAGCAGATTAAACCTCCCACCTTTTACTATCAGGTTTGTTTTCTTTAATATTTCTTTTTTTTTAAAATTATTTGGTCTGGCTGCTTCTACCCTCCTGTGGGACAGATGGAGTTGCCTTGTTTTTATTCTTTCTTTTCTCTCCTTTTTTTTCGTCTTTGGTAAAGACAGATAAAGAAAGATTTCTTTTCTGTTTGTGCAGAGGTGGAGGCTAATTGCTGGGTTAATTGAGAAGAATGGTKCTTCTGATGTTCTCACAAAGTATCAAATAGCCTCAACATATTTCTCTCCTCACTCCACCTAAAGAGRCCCATTGAATTTGCACATTACTGTACAGAAGTGATTATGGGCTTAATTGTATTTATTTTGCTTGGTGGGGAGGCCATCATAACAGTGGTTGATTGATTTTTATAAAATCACCCTCAAGGTCATGTGTAGGACTTTGCTTTCCTGGGCAGCCATAACAAACAATTTGAGGGTCACAGCCAAAGGCTCTGTGGAGCAATATTCCTGCCTTCTGCTTTCTGAGAAGGGGTCAAGAGCAATAAAAGAAGGAAGCATAGCTTTTATTTTTTTTTTTGAAAAGGGGAAGACAACCTTGTAAAGCAGCAGCTGTATATTTATTCTGACCCAACGAAAACCACAGAGGGTTAGTGGGACAATATGCAATTTTTTGGACAGAAGAATTTGTAAGTTTGGCCAGAGTTTGTTTTACTCATAGACTTGATAAATGGTTAAATGAGTYCTTTCCTAATGCTTTCTTTTTATTTCTGTGGTGCTGCTCTTCTTCTATCCTCAGCAGCCAAACTTTACTTTTTTCACTGTATTTCCTCCCAAAGACCAAGTGAATTTTGGATTTGTCCTGGAAGGTTTTCCAGTGTGTGGGTGACCATGACTGTAGCAGATCTGACCATTTTCGAGGGTGACATGCTGCGTCTGACCATGCTTCTAAAGGAAAGCAAAAGGGTCACATACAGCAAATCACATMATCACTGRATGGTTTGGTTGGAAGGGACCTTAAAAATCATCTCATTCCAACCCCCTTGCTGTGGACAGGACACYYTCCACTATARACCAGWTTGCYTAAAACTCCATCCAACCTGGCCTTGGGCACTTCCAGGGATWGGGCATCYACATCCCTGRGTATCYTGTTCTAGTGGCTCATCATCTCCATAGAGTAAGAATTTCTTCCTAAAATAAGGRCTTCTGGTGTTCAAATTCACCAGGGAAGCTTTAGATGGGATATTAGGAAATTTCTTCAAACATTGTGACAGATTTCCCAGGGCAGTGGTGCACTCACCATGCCTGCAAATGTTAAAAAAACGTGTGGACGTGATGCTTGGAGACATAATTTAGTGGTKGACTTRKCAGTGCTGGGTTAATGGTTKGATTTAGTGATCTTAAAGGTGTTTTCCAACCTCAGTGACTTTGGTTTCCCCCCAGAAGGGTCGAATTTTCAGGCCAGGTGTGCACAGCTCCTGCCAGAATTCCTGCTGCTCCTGGGGTGTGGTGGGATTATTGCTTGTTCTTGCACCTAGAGCAGAGAAGTCAGCAGCACCCAAGCTTCTCAGACTCTCAGAAATCCAAAAAAGATACAGAACATCTTTGATCAACAGCTTGAAAATTTTGAATGGATGAAATTTGACTGAAACTTTGGAAAACTTGTTTGAGACACAACTGATTTTGCAATCAAAAGACAGGACAACTTTGACTACCARCCTTCCTGGTTCAGTGATACAGCAWGGYAGCAATTAAAATACTCATTAAAAATTGTATGAAGAGAAGTGGAAACAGAAATGACTGTATTTCACTGGGAACTGAGCATAGAAAGTCAATAAAGACCTTAGGGAAGATGTCTTTTTTATGTTAGAAATGAAATAAATCGCAGTGATTTACAGTTCCATTTATAGATTGTGGTGATAAAATTATTAACACTGCTGCTATAAGGCAAAAGTATTTAATAAATATTTCTGTTCTCAGTATTTGAAGGAACAGGATGGTGAATTATATCACAGGAGGAAGATGGACCAGCAGTCCATTTATTGCCAAATAATGTTAATAAGATGAAAACATTAAATATTCTTTCAAGAATACACATTCTGAAATCAACAGGTCCAGTCTCATCCATGAGCTTTAAAACTGCTTCTGGAGTCAAATATCTTGTGTTGTTTTACATGAAAGAAGATTAAATTTGTGCTGGTTGTTCACAATCTATGCAGTAAAACCACTCTAAAAAGGCTCAGCACTGATACATTTGTATATAGAAAGGTGTGTCTAGGGAAAGAGACAATTTACACACAGGGGAATTGTTTCTGAGAGCAAACCTGTGGTTTGCAGTGGTCATAAGCAAGAAAATGTGAGATTTATCTCTTTCTTTGATTAAGCATATTCTGTAAAAATTATGTGGAAAACAATGAAATCAGGAAAGAAAATATTTAATGATTAGTCCCTATTTGAATACTGGCTTTGTTATAAGCCTAAGAAATAAAGGCTAATTTATAAGTTTATAATGACTTTGTTATAACCTTAAGAAATCAGTGAAATCAGGATAAGCAGAGTCTGAGCAATGGCAAGCAATGATCTAAGTAGT